GCGCAAGGTGTGTATTGCGGTCACTCGTCTTTCCTCGTACACTCTCGCCGTCTGTTTTTCTCTGCGCTTCTTCCAGCCGTGAACTGCCTTTAATGTACGCAACAGCTTTGCTCTCCGCGCGCAGCGCGGACGGCCTATACCTATGAGGGTCCTCCTTTTTCGTGGGGATGGAAGCAGACCAAATGACCAAATAACAAAGGGGGAAATCACATGAAAGCACTAGTAAACATTTTTGAGCACAAACAATATGACAGTTTAGTGACGACATGGAAGCTTTCCTAGTCTGCTGAAACTGAAAACAAAGATGAGCGATGAAACACGACAATACACGAACTGCAAGTAAAGAAAGACACAGTACCACAAAAATAATCACGAAAAAACAAGAATCAAAAGGTCTTGCAAGGTGCGTAGTGATGATGAAATCGCATGCTCACTATTGAATCTGACGGTATTCATGATTTTGTGCGCCTTCGCGCGCTTTTGCGGAAGCGACCGGAAGCCAGCCGGTAATAGTTTCTAGCCCGCTCCTCGGTCGGTTTTAGGCTCCGTCCCAAAACATGGCGCGGCCCTCGGCCGGAAGGCCGTCGTCGCCCGGTCACCAGCCGGAAAAAGTATCTGAGACGTGCGTGGCGCAGTGACCGTACGCACGTCCGACTCTCGCGATCATGCAGGCCTATACAAGCTTTTTCAAAAGAGCAAGAAGTCGCACATTATGCTAGCGTGGTTCATTCATTTAGTCTTTTTGACTGCTCATGCACTATGGAGTGCACATCTTTGCATTTTGCCATAAGATTTGAATGTTGGATACAGCATAAGTTCAAAGAACACCTGTGACAGTATCTATAAGGTGGGTCCGATACGTGCCGTTTTTTGGAGCTGTCCTCGAAACAGCGGTTATGTTCTTGTTTGGATTCCTTTGATGTTCGCTTGAGAAATCGTCAGAATCTTTAGCCCACGGTTATACATACCCTAACTTCTGCTATTTTCTCGAATTTTCGTTCTAAAGTTTTGGAAATGCTTCAATAACAGTTAGATAGAGCACACAAGATGGTGTGATACAATTTTCTGGCATCAATAGGTGGTTTTTCAAATTCTATAATTATCATTTTGATGCCAATAATATTTGTTTATTGCAGAGAACTCTAGAACATCAGACGGCAAACATCCAGGGTGTCATTCGATGCAGCTCCTCTTTTTGATTTTTTTTGACGTAAAGGCCTCGAGGAAAAATTGCCATAATTCTAGTCTTTTGATGTGTCCCAGTTCACCCGAAAATTTCATAAATCAATATTTCGAAGCGGTGGAACCTCTTGCTGTACAGTTTTTTTTTCACCCTGAAGTAGGCGAAACATCCCAAGTGGAGCAGCTCGTCCGCAATGCCATTGGCTCAGTGAGAGAGATTAGAATGGAGAGACGCAGACTGCAAAGCGGCGCGAATCGTTGCGAAGGGAACTCCCGCCAGTCCGATTTTCGCCTAAACTGAGTTGAAACTTACTGCAATTAGTGTTCAATCATAATCAATTTTTGGAACTTTCATTATGTCAAGAATTTTTCAGTGTTTAAAGCGTTTGTATATTGTATGACTTCGCAATTGTGAAGAGTTCTGAAAAACTTGTCTCTAGAGATAGTGAAATACCAGCTATCGATGCCAAAAATTAGGTTTGCATTTTGTTTGCTCTATCTAAGTGTTATCAAAGCTTTTCCGAAATTGCAAAACGAAAATTTCAAAAAATAACTAAGGTTACGGTACGCAAAATACATGGGTTAGAGATTTTGGCGACTATTCGAAAGAACATTCAAGGAATCCGAACAAAAACATCATTCTGCATAGAACAATGCTTAAAATGTTTGTCTATCGTTATTTTGATTTTTAAAAGGTTTTTCCAACTTGACAAGAACTTTTGGGCCCTCCTAATAAATCATGCTTTAATTCTGTAGCGAAGGCCTACAGCTCACATACACGCTTTCAGAAGAAGTGCCCAACAAGCGTGATACATGGGCAAGCGAGTTATCGTTTGGGGTAAGAAGCAAAGAGAATGTCGTTTTTGCAGGGTCATAGAAAAAATGCTAAAAAAATTGCTGCTTTGGAACCGATTGCTCATGCTTCAGCAGACTTTTGTAGAAGCAACAATTCGAGCTCCAAAATGCTGATGGTAGAAGAGCGGGAACTCAAAATTGTGTTTTAAAATAAGCAATAGTTTGTTTAACGTACACTGATGACTCCAGGGTGAGGTTGAGACTAAAGCAAGAATGGCGATTAATACACAAAGTTTTAGACGTCGATCAAGTATATGTCGGGAGAGCTTGATTGATCTCAAAGTCTTGCAACAAGCTGATTAGAGCCTCGATACTACAAAAGTCAGACGTTTTTGGAGTACTGGAAAATGCATTCTGTGCTATCTGAGCCTCTTTCCCAGTTGTACTAGGTTCAGGGTGAAGCATATATTCATCTTTGTTAAAAAAACATTACAATTTTGATGAAAGTATACAGGTTTGAGTAGAAAAAGGAGCATCCTTTGAAGTGTATGCATCAGGTTGCCACACAAGTTCTGCAATTTTGTCCATGACCTATTTTTCCTCGAATGAGCATTCAAATTTTGGCCCTTATGCGAGACTCGCAAGACTGCAGACTTACATAACGGGCAACATATCCATAATTAGCATATCAATTAACCCCTGTAGGCAGTATTTGAGCGTATTCTGAAATTTCAAGATACTGGGTCACATAAGAGAGCGCGAAAAGGGCGAAACAGGACCCTAACGCAGGAAGGAAATCAAAAGTGGGCGGGGTCCTCCCCATTATGAATTCACGGTCCCGGCTTTTGCAGCGATCTTCTCAAATCGCTAGCCCTCCTGTCATCTCCACAAGGCAAGTGCGAATGCTTGAGTTGAAATCCGAACCGAGAAGATCGCCCTAGAAGCTGGGAGCGTGAATTCACAGTGGGGAGAACCCCGCCCACCTGCTGATTTCCCTCCCGTGTTAGAACAGTTTTTCGCCGTTTTCGCGCTCTCCAAGGTGCATTTTCGGATTCAGCGTAGCGAATAGGCCCGTATAAGCACAAAATCTCAAAATCGAGTTTTTGCCCGGACACTGCCTTTATGTGAAAACGCCGTTTTCCAACATGATTAACTTTGTTTCAAAGATGCGGTAGCTAGCTGTTTTTGCACTGACAAAGCACTACTCCTTCTTTGGCCAAATCAGAAAGCTTCAAAAGATCACCTAACTTTGGAATTATTCTCGCTTCAAAAGATCACCTAACTTTGGAATTAGAAGCTAATCAAAATATTGTTTTTCCTATTTTTCGCTTTTAATGGCTGTGCTTCCACCAAATATTACTCAGACCTAAAAGACAAATCAGGCTCAAACCACTCCTATAAAATCTACGAGGTCTAGGCTATCGACTCATATAAATAACGTTCGCTAAAAATGCTTTTTTTATATAGTTAATGGGGTGTGGCACCCTTAAAAGGCTGTGGCTGCCACAGCTTTTTAGGGTGGTGCCACACCCCATTAAAACTTACCTTCAAAAAGATCAAGCTGCGTTTTTTTATATCGTTGTTACTGCTTAACCTTCTTCTCTACATAGGAAAAATTTCATACGAAAAGGTTTCTTCAAGAGCAAGATTTAATCGTTCCTCACCTGTGAAAATGTAAATTACTGGTAAAATACTGCGAAAATATTGGGATATGGTAACATGCTAAGTCTGCGCTACTACGTGAATCGCAAGGGAAGGCCACGAGAATATATATATATTCGTTAGCCTGTGCCTCGTGATCTACATTAAAGTGATTTAAACCTAATTGGTCTTCTCTAGCCTGAGGTATCATTATAAAAACGAAAAATGGAACTAACGAGCTTTTGACTAGCTCTTAATTACTCAATTTGGAGGTCATTTGAAGTAGAACTCCTGATGTGAGCAAAAAAAATAGTAGTTCTTTGTATCAAGCGCAAAAAGAAGTAGTTAACTTAACTTTGAAACAAAGTAACATGTTTGAAAACGACCATCTCATTTAAGTGGTCCTGTATTTGGAAACCTCAGAATTCCTTTAACTTAGACCATACTTACCTTCTGTGCCCATTTCCAGCCCTTTTCTTCAAACTTTGCAAAAAAACAGTAAAAATCGACGAAACCGACGAAATCGAGAGTGACTGTTTGTACTTCTGAATAATTGAAATAAAGTTCAAAAATCTTTGAAAATTCAAATTAGCCTTGTAAAAAATATTATTTCGGAAGCCTGCCGCCACGCCCCTTTCTTCTTTAATTTTGAGAACATGGACCCTCAAAAGTTTTCGCACGCACCTTCGGAGTGCGTGGCTGACGCCGCCTTTTTATTCAAAAACAATTTCGTATCCCCCCCCCCCCCCCACACATACAGACATTCAGGTTTATATACAAATTGTTATCTTTTGCTCACCTCACTTTTCTAAGATTTGTTAAAGTAACAAAGAACTCTTTTGTGTGTTCATCATTATTTACAAGTAATGTTAACTAGACTAGATATTAATTGAAGGGGCTTTAGAAGGTCGAAAGAGATTCTGTAAAAGTTTGAATCTCAAGGAGATTTCGTTCTCAGAAAGCCGAAAACCACTCTTTCACAACTGAACCAGAATTCTGTAAAATAGCAACTTTTCTCTCTTTTCTCATTTACATTTAACATTTGATGTTTTCCCATTCATAGAATACAGCCCGCATTTTTTTAAGGTGCTGCATTTGCTTTCGCCATTTTCTCTACCGCGCTCGTTCACGTTCGGAACAACAAGAAAGAACAGGGCGGTACATACAAAATCAAGAACTAGTGGGAAAACACTACATTTTCTTCGAACTATCGTTTGTTTTCAGAAACAGAAATTTTTCTACCAATGTTAAATCAAAGTAGTTTCTATTAAAAAAGTTTCATTTTCAAAAATTCGAAACTCAATCTAAACGTTGAGTATCTGTCTTTTGGTTTCGTCAACTAAGGATTTTTAGATGTAAAAAGAGGGCAAGAATTTCAGAGTAATAACGAATGGATTGTTGATGACCTTGCATTCGAAACGGTCCTCTTTGAAGGTAGCACAAGCGACTTCGACTATCCCGTGGTAAGGGTGGTAAATTCTCAGCATACCTATCGCTAAATATCCATTAAGGCAACGTTCACGTTTCAAATCCAACGCCAATCTTCAATTTACGTTGTCACCATAATTATACCTTCATTCGTACTTACAATACTCTGCGTGCTTGGGATGTTCTGGCCTAAATCCGATCAAACTGATTACTTAGGCCAAGTGAGTCATTATTTTTTATAAAGAGACTATTAAACATCAATCTGCAATTTTGATTGGGTGCGGCCTTTCGGTGGTCCTTGCAATGTGCGCTATCCTTCAGATCGCTAAGCAGGATATACCCAAGACTAACGAGTTGCCCTCCTTGTGTGCGTGAAAAAGTGGCTTTGTTTCTTTTATGGATTGAATGTTCTATTGAGGCTTTTTAGCAGTTTACATCATGGTGAATTTGCTCATAGTGGCTGTTGCTATATCGTGTATGATCGTGTCGTCCAAGCTTGGCCACTCGTCAAAGTTCGGCATGTGTCGCGCATTCAAAAGGTTACTTTGCTTGTGAGAAAAAATGATATTAATTCTTCGTTTTGCAGGCACTTCCATCGATTGTTCCATAGATTGAACGTGGAGTTCCGAGTCATTTGCTTGCTTATGTTTACAGCAGCGACAATTATCAACCTACTGATACTAATATTAAAAGTGTGAAAGACCTGCCGATGTAGTTGTCCTCTTTCTCACAAGTAAATTTTAGTCGTTTTCAAGTCAACAAGCAAATTTTATTCTTAGTTGGTACAGGAATTCAATGAAAAACCAAATCCTTCGAAGGAGGCTGAATATGTGACGTGTATGAAGCTATGGGGTTTACGTTGTAGTCCGAGACCCAGCAAAAAAGTGAAAGTTTGAAAAATTTATAGTCCATGTTCGAAAGAGGTCTGACTTGATAATGTTTTTTTATCTCAAAAAATTATTGACACTTGCTAACTTAACCGCTCAGAAACCTATTTGCTTTGAATTATAGCAAACCTCTCATCATGGCTTATGAAGCTCAGAAATGGTCAAAAGGCGGCACCATCAAGTCCACCTGGGTATAATTTTTATGCTATCTATTATATTTATCCGCATAGTCGTAGCCTTTTGATCTAGTGCTGGAATAGCTCAAAGGCACCGTCCGTCCTAGGTTAAGGATTTTGGCTTTTGGTAGTTTACGATAGTAGAAGCTCCTATCAAGAAAATGCTTAAGTCGGGAGGCAAAATGTCGCTTCGCGAGCAAGAAAATCGCTTCGGAACAGCCAAGATGCATGAGGATTCCAAATCATTAATCGCCCCCTCTAGTAATGTCCGCCTATCTGTGCGCGCCCACCCAATCATCGTTCCGAAAAGCCGGTTTACGGGTTCTGGGGATTGTCGGGGTTTTTGCGAGTTCTCGACTTCATATTCGGGATCAGAAACATGAGAAGGCCCGGAACCATTGAAACATGGATGTCGAGGATCTGGGTGGACCGTGCCTTAAAGCATTCAAATTGGCATCGATTGCGGATTGACAAGCAGTTTTTTTGTGCTATAAATGTATGCTTTTTATACACTGAGGACATCACAATTAAGACAGACGTAAGCGTTCGTTACCTATAAATTGACTTCACCTTTAGCGAGCCCAACCAATATTCGTGCTTCGTGCTTGCTATGTAAACCCGTATCGGTTTGAATCAAGGGGCGCTTGTGAGCCATAGGAAAAGTTACTCGAGCGCAAAGCGGAATTAGGTGATATCACAGTCAGCTTTGACTGAATTTGCTGACTCATTTTTTGCTGGCATTTACTTTCCATTACTTATAAATCGCTGTCTGAACTTCTAGGCAAGCGCCATACTCAGTCCAATTTGTCAACATCACTTTTGGTCAAATCGTGGTTCGACCTAGCGAAGTCGTTGGAATGAAGTATGGCATTGATATCAATGGATTCAAAAGCTGTTGATTCTGCTTTGTATTAAAGGCAGCGTCCACCCAGAATTTGGCTCCCCATGTTTTCGTCATTCTGGGGCCTTTATTGGCCCTGATTACAGTCCCGAACTTCAAACTCCCTAAAATTCACAAAAAAACCGATTCTTGGAGACCCACTCTTGAGGGCGCGGACGAGTTTCGAATTGCTCGTCCCCGTCGGCAGGCCAGCGGGAAGGAGCTGCAACTGCATGGGTGCAGTTGCATTGCAGGGTGCAGTGTGCAGCTTCTGCTCACTACCTTGTCAGTACGTGTCGGGAGGCACGTATTGACAAGATAGTGAGCAGTCCCTGGTGGGCGGAGTCTGATATCAGACTCCGCCCAGCCAGGGACTTTCAGGCCCGTTATCTCCATTCAGAGACAACGTTAGAAGACCGGACCAACGCAGATGCCCCTTTTCTGGGGCCTACGTTCAAGACCGACACTATTCGGAGGGGGTTAGGTTTAGCCTGGACACTGCCTTTAAGGAAGTGTGAATGTGAATTTGTAATACTGAAAAAAAAGATGGATTAGCTTGCAGGAGACAAAGTAGAGATGGACAAGGAAGCAGCCGAAAAGAGCAATGAGTTGACTTTGAGAGCCTTCTGAAAGTCTTGAGATTCTTTCTGAATTTCGAACCCACAATTATGAATTTATACACAATTAGAAAGAAATCGTTTGCCAGTTTTATGACTAACATAAGTGACTCAAAAAGTGTTTGCGACCAGTTCTCGGAAGGGTGGAGGGGAGCTCCCCGGTTCCTCTTCTGTCCGCCACTGTGCTTTAGTCTATTTCCGCTGCACGCGGCCCGCACGCACAATGTCACCTCTTCGTTCTCACAGTGGATGGTGGTCGGAATCAGCTCAAATTGAACATGGAGCTCCGAGTCATTTGCTTGCTCGTATTTCTAGTAGCGACAATCAGCAATTTACTAATGCTAATATCAAAAGCATGAAAGATATGTCTTTGTAATTGCCTTCCCTGTTACAGTAAAAATTGATCCGTCTTTAAGTTAAATGCAAGCAAAATTTGTCCTTCTGGTAAAATGCTGATAGGGCGAAAAAACCACTTCTGGTTTGTAGACTTTTAGAACGGCAGTGTCGATAGTTTCTTTTCATATAGTTGGGACTTCTCAGCACAAAGAAAAGATGTAAAGATGAGGAAAAGAAGAGTTGCAAACTCCTTAGCACATCGCTCAAATATTACCTGTGAATTTCGTCAAAAGTTCCAAAGGTTGAGTTCTTGAATCTTCTAAGGGAGCGTCCTACAGTAAAGATCATGATAATGGGGCCTGAGCATATATAACCTCAGACGCCACAAGTGATGCTATTGCAGAAGATAGTAAAACTGCTCGCGAAGAAAACACCTAACGCTTCTGCTCCAAATTGACCAGTTAGGCTTACATTACTTGAATCTTTCAAACACCTTTTCGAAATGAGTTTTACTGGAGCCGAACATCTCTCATAATTAGCAAGAAATCTCTTGAAGTGGACTGCGATACTGGAACAGAATTTTTTGTCTGGTGTATGTCAAATTGAAAAGTCTAAAACACCGTTTTTTGTAGCGGAAGTGACTGAATAAGATATTTTTGAATTTGCAAAATTCAACTAGAGTAATACTTCCCAAAAGATCGTACAGGACACAGTAAAAATACATTTCAGCCCGCAGTACACTTAATATGGGTTACTATAAAGATTGGAGCATTCTTTTCAATTTTTTGTAAAATTACGCTAACAAAGTCTGAGATATCTGCTATACGCTGTACTTAGCGTAGTACAAAAAGAGGAGCGTTACTCCTTTTGAACGGCTCAAAATGCTTTTGGATGTCAGTGCTCTACGACACCTTCTGTTTTTGTGCAGTTAAAGCATTCTAATTAGCTTCTACCGAAAGTCTGGAATAAATTAAGTTTTTTCGATAAATATTTTGTTGGCGCTTGGAGAATCCGTGATCAAATCTGGACCAAAACATAACAAAAATACAAAGAACTGTAAGTACGAATGACGGAATTATTATTGTAAGGAAGTATTATAAATAGCAGCATCTCGTCGAACTTGAAATTTGAACACGGCCTATCCAGCGGATATAAATAAAATGCATCCTGAGAAGATATTATTCCTACCGTGTAGAATTCGAATATGCCAATTTTCAAGGTAAGCGTTTCAGATGCAATGTTACCAATAATCCACTCGTTGTTGCATTGAAGTTCTCTCACTTTCTCAACTACTAGCCATTTTACTGACTCAAAAAGCCTGCAGCCAGAAGCTCTGTAGCACAAACGCGGAAACGCAAGTGGTTGTTTAGATTTCTTCGTAAGCAGCCAAAATCATTTGTTGTAGCAAACCCTTGGTATTTCGTGGATTTGGAAAATTAACGTTGCGAATAAGACCAAAGAGGGGCAGAGGTAGTGTAATGTTTACTGCAACCTAAACCGCAGAGTTCCTTGCAAAGCAGCATAGTCGGCACCGGGTCAAGCTGGATATCGTTTTTGAGACAAAAAGCAAAGTATGTTTTTGTGGCCGAAAAAACACAATAGCGGCGTTTTTCAATCGACGTTTCGTTTCTTAAGTTTTAAGGTTTGGAGTGAAAGTGGACGCTGTACGACATTTTCAAATCAACCTTTCAAAACTTTCCTGGTGCCAGATCGTTTCGAGCCCGGATTCCTTGTTGTTTAGGCTGATTCTTACCATTGTCTGCACTCTTCTTCTTGTCATTTTCGATCACTTGTGGGCGCTAAAAAGCTTTCGAAGTATGTGTAGCACAGCAGACAAAACTATCAGCTAGCTTCTCTATCAATCTCGTGAAACGTCTGTTTGTGCATGTGTATATTTGCTTGTCACCACATTCATGGTACGAGTGGAAGCGAGCCAAAATTTACACCACATACCGGACCAGCGTGTAGGCTCACCACACTAAGGACGGACATATTCAATACACAGATCTTCTTGATGTGGAACGCATTGAGCAGATGACAATATAATAGAAAACCAAGAGTACTCTCTCTACATACCAATGTACATGCCGCGGGTTCACTAGGATTAATTCCATGATAAACACAATAACATGCAAATATATCAAGGTGCGGCGGGTACGCCGCAACCAACAGAGACCACGTCCACGCTGTAAGATTGTAAGATTGGGTGCTGCACAATCATGGTAGAAATGTATTATAAAAACTAGTGTTAGAAGCTTATTTGTTGATTATACTATAACAGTGGAAGAATAGAAGTATAAAGTGAATTTAGCACGTACTTAGGCACTCTGTGATGTGAGTTTGCACAGCGCGCGCGCGTAACTGACGCCTTAACCCTCCAGGGTTAGTTTAACCCTCATGGTTCGTTGATGAATACGACTACAGGTTCCTTGATCGATACGCGGTAAACGCTATCCTATGGTTGATGAAAACGGCAAGTAAACCCTGAGGGTTAAGTAACCCTGGAGGTAAGTTTAACCCTTGAAATTTGTTGATGAATACGGCCACAGAAGAACCAAATATTTCTTGAGGACTTTCCTCTTGAGGTCTTTTTGAAACTGTCTTCTACAGATCTTCTAGTGCTATATCATAGGTTACTTCAAAGTACTCCGTGGCGAAGACGAATGCGGTATCGAAGAACCTGGCATGACAACGTAGATGTGGATCCAGGGTCGAGCGTGTGATGCGACTGTCGCAACGGGGGTCGTAAAGGGGGCACCGGCGGTGGGGGGGGGGTTGTAAGAAAGGGTTGTCCGAATTTAAAAAGTGTGGGATGTAGGAAAGAAG